AGGAATGGTGGGTAAACGCCTGCAGCTTCGACCAGCTCCAGGAAAGACCTAGGACAACATCAGCTGAGAAACCAGCTGCCCCCTTCTGCCCCAGCAGGAACAGCTTGTGGGTGGAGGGTTTTCCCCTCTGCCAGGGGGTGTAGCGGACACCTGCTAATCCCCACACACACAAGAAAGGGGGAGGCAATGTTTCAGAAAGGGAAACTGAGGCATATTAAGAGGCCTGCCCACAGCCAGCAATGCAACTACTAGGACAACATCAGCTGAGAAACCAGCTGCCCCCTTCTGCCCCAGCAGGAACAGCTTGTGGGTGGAGGGTTTTCCCCTCTGCCAGGGGGTGTAGCGGACACCTGCTAATCCCCACACACACAAGAAAGGGGGAGGCAATGTTTCAGAAAGGGAAACTGAGGCATATTAAGAGGCCTGCCCACAGCCAGCAATGCAACTAGGATTGAAATCCAGGGGTTCCTTGCTCCTAGCCCAACTATATACCCGTGTCCAGGAAATGCTTCCTTTAACCCTCGCCCTCCTCCTCAGGGTCCTAGCACTGCTTCAAGCCGCACCAATACCGGCCTGTCAAGTCACTTCCCCAAGGAGCGCAGGGAAGTCGAAGTAGCTCAGATCGAGGGAAAAATTTTCCACTAGGTCCCAGCTAACCCCGACCTGGGGCCTAATTGATCTTTGCCAGCGCTAACCTTGGGAGCCGCAGTCCTGACCCATGCGCTGCTGGCCTGTGAGTGCAGCCATTACCTTTTGCTGGTGGCCGCTCCGCCATTTCTTCCTAAAACACGTAATTCACGCTAGGAAACACCACTGTGCGCACACCCATTCCAGTCATTGTCATTTATTCACATGGGGGGGGCGGGGGGGGAGAAGAGTGGTGGTTTCATTGCTGGCTCAATCATACAAATAAGGCACAGGTATGATTTATGCTTTGCTGGAACGGATGACTTTAGCCCACTAAGGAAGGGCCTTGCACATTCTTGTCGGCATTTTTTGGCACAAAGTGGCTGGTTGTAAAACGATACCGCATGACATTTGGGCTTAAGTGAAAGCACGCTCAAGTCACAATGAAAAAAAACCAGCAGCAAATCTTTCCAAAATTTCTCTTTCACGGACAAATCAATCCAATCTAGCAAGAATAGTAACACAGTCAGTTATATTGTTCAATACCATTATGGTGGGCTAAAGCCCAGAACGGAAATATTAATCTGATCCACACAATGGTTATCTGCAAAAGTGGGATGGATGCTCCTTAATAAAAAGTCTGCTGTTATTACGGGTCTCCTGTAAAATTAGAAGGGAAGCTTCCAGATCATCGTCCATAAGGTAGTTTTGGCAACTGATCTTCAGAAAATGCAGTGCACCGAATGCCCTCTTGCCCTCCGGTAGTCAAAAACCAGGACAACAAAAAGCAAAGCAACTTTGGCTCGAGGCTTGTTGCTATCCTCCGATCGGTACATGTGACCCCAGAATTTCTCTGCTGTCACACCGGGCCGATAGAGCCCTGCAAATCTGCATCTGCAGCTTATTTTTGTGGATCCAAATTCCGGATCTGTGCAGGGCTCTACAGATTGAAATATGCTTTCATGTTTGCATTCTTGCATAGGGTCCAGCATGAAGTTTGAGATTCCTTTCCTTAAATCCAAAAAGAGGCAAACTAACTCTAATGAGTTTGTCTGCAAGCCGAAGGCTCTGAACCAGAACTGCGGAACGGATTACTCACAAAGGTGTACATATAGACATTTCCCTTGCTGAAACAATTTTCAAGATTCTCTAAGAGGATACTCAGGTATTTGGTTACTGCTAAGCTGATCTTTCACTGCACACACGCATCTTGAAAGTTCAAAAATCTGAAAAGTCCTGTTTCTCTTGTGCTTGCTGGACAATATCAGCGACCAAAGCAGGCGACCATGTACAGCTGTCAGTCAGCAGCTATTTACGTCTGAATCTTGTCGGTTTTAGGACACCGAAAGTGTGTTCAAAACCTCAACGAGCTTTCTCCAGATCTCAACCAGCCATTGAACCTTGACATTAAAACTAAGCCAATGGACCAAGCAGTAAATCAGCGCCCCCCACCGAGATAACACGGAGGCACTTTTGCAGTACAGGTTCAACCCTCCTGGAAGGAAGTGGTAAGTCTTTCGTGGTGGGCAAAACAGCGACACCTCCTCGGGTGTCCTAAGGAGGAGGGAGAAAACTTGTTCATCTTGGCCTCTGGGGATAGAACAAGAAGCAATGGGCTTAAACTGCAGCAAGGGAGGTTTAGGTTGGACATTAGGAAAAAGTTCCTAACTGGCAGGGTGGTCAAACACTGGAATAAATTGCCCAGGGAGGTTGTGGAATCCCCATCTCTGGAGATAGTTAAGAGCAGGTTGGATAAATGTCTATCAGGGATGGTCTAGACAGTATTTGGTCCTGCCATGAGGGCAGGGGACTGGACTCGATGACTCTCGAGGTCCCTTCCAGTCCTAGTAGTCTATGATTCTATGCTTTGCTGCCTCCCTTCCCCTGGGGGTAGGGGCAGGGAAAGCGGCCCGGAGGGGGTACCGGCAGGTCGCCCGCTGGCTCAGTTTGCTCAGTGTGCCAAACAAGAACAGCCACAGTAGGTCAGACCAACGGTCCCTGGAGCCCAACGTCCTGTCTCTTCAGAACTCGTGCGTGAACGTCGACTGGTTCTGGTGATCTGCTACTCTTTAATTTCTCAGTTTGTTCCAAAACCTCCTCTACTGACCCACATTCAGGGCCATTCTCTGGTGCTGATTTTTAAAAAACTTCCGATACCCACTCGCGTTTTTAACTCTTTCATCCTCTGCCACGAACCACCTCAACGTGCCCAAACACAATGCAGCGACCTTGCCAATGAGGATGCTGGCCCAAGAGCTGCTTATGAAGCCACAGTAGTGTGAGATGTAAGCCTAGTGATTAGCCAGTGAATATGCTTTGGGCTTAGAAAACCACGCCTGTGCTGTTGGAGCACGAATGTGCTCTGTGATTTATGGCATTTACAAGACAATTTTCTAAAGAATATCGCCCCTTCCTTTGCACCAGCCTAGGAGTGTCGAAGCGTCTATAACCTCGCTGCAAAATGGGGAGCAGAGGAAGGCCTCAGGTCTGTTCTTGCACGCTTGACATGAACGAGCAGTCACAAGGCAGGCCCAGACGTGCTGGAAGGCTTGCGAGAAAGAACACGGCCTGCCAAGCACACAATAGCTCCTCTTATTCAAGGAAAACAGAACCATTTAACAATAGAAACAGATGCTGTGGCACGTGGCATCAGCCAGACAGATGCTCTCACAAGCGGATCTATTGATTCATATGGATACTGCCACAGGTCAGTGCACGCATAACTAAGTTGGCAGTCTTGGGATTCCTACGTCTACTGATCGCCAGCGTTTGCGGAGCATCATTTGATCCCCAAGGATTCCAACACGGGTGTGAATTGTATACAGAGACTATCGGCAGCGCTGATATGCAGCAGCTAATTTGCATCAGTAATAAAACAGCTAGCGGGAAGAATAACGCCATTGAAATTACAGGCATTGTTACACTGTGCCATCCCAGAATTCCCCATGCTGGGATCTGGCCAACAAATTGGGGTGAACACGTCCTCTCGAGGGGCTGCCATACAGGCACCGGTCACTGTATTATAAGCCATCAAAGGCTCAGTTACATTTCACATGCAGGATTGCATCATTCTGAGGCACTGCTCAATACTCACTCTGGAGTTCTAGCTGAGCTCATGCCATCCTGGGGTTTCTCGTGGACACCTCCCACCCAGTGACAGTCCAAGCCAGCCACACTTAACTTGTAAGCTGCAGAGATCAGACCTGGGCAGCATGGGCACAGACAACACGCTGAATAGAAACACTTGCAACCAACCCAGTGGCTGATTTCAGGCCCACTCCTGGCATGGCCTTGCTGTTTCCTGGCAGGTATCAATAGGCAAGGCTCTGCTTTGCCCAGGGGAGTACAGCTCCCCCACATGGCTCCATCTCTGCTCATCAAGTTCCCAGGGCTTTCCTTTTTCCTTCTTTGTAAAGAGAGCGTAGGGTTTGGGCCATCCTGCTTTTAAGTTTTCCCTGAGGCAGATCTGGGAAAGAACAGACTTTTCAGCCCAGAACTAGTCTGTTTTTTAGCTTACCTACAAATTCACTTTCCATAGCGAAACCTATTCCATCTGACCAGGGCAGGAACCAGGAAGCCACAATCTGCAGGCAGGAAGGCAAGACACCACAACTTTAGAAACAGAATTTGTTTTATACATGTGAACACGGAGCAAGAAGTACGGAGGACAAGGTCTGTCCTGCGAATCCTAACAACCAGGGCTCGAGGACCGCGGCGAAAACCCACTCGGCAGCCCCGCACCGCGCATGCGCCAGCCCCGCACCGCCAGTGAACAGGGCTATCGGCTGAAATCTACTCGCCACGGGCGAGTAGAGAAGCGGATTTGTCGAGCCCTGCTAACAACAATCCAGGATGAAAGAGGTACCAGGAGACTAAAGAAAGGCTTAGAACAGATTCTGCTATAGAATAAACACTGTTCATGCCTCGATGCTTTCCATACTGCCTATGTTCAAGAATCACTAACGGGCAAGGAAGACCCCGGAAAGCCAGGGGAAGTTTATCACGCATGTTTTAGGCTCTGTGGGCTTCTGCCTAGGTGCAATTTGGCCGCCTGATTCAGCTTGTCTGAAATTTCTATAACCTCACTCAGAAAAGGAGCAGAGCGAGGCCTCAAACCATCTCAGGGCTGCTCTCGCAAGCGCTACAGGAATGAACAGGGTCACCACAGACCCAGCCATGCTGGAAGGCTTGCTCACCTGGCACAGACAAAGGAACCGGGGAAGACGGATATGGGAGGTTTAATGTCTTTGATGCAGTTCAAACCCACAGAAAACTTTTACCTTTCTAGCTCAGCACCCTGCCGTCCTCTGCAGCCCCAGCGAGATTGCTTCACCTGTAGAAACAATGGAAAGAAGAAAATAACGAGGTGATTTAGCAGAAAAAGGTGGAAAATCTACTTACGCAGGCCAGAGACCGGTTAGTTTTGAGACATTTATGCCCAAGTCCGCTCAAATGCCTTCGCAAGCTACAAGTGCGTCACTCACTCCCAAGGCAGCCTGTGTCCTAAAGCGAATGACGCTACCGAGCGGATGAAAGGGGAATCCGGGCAGCCCCTTCCTGACACCAAGGCAGGGTTAGATTTGAGGCCCTGCCTGAAGGAGGCACACGGTAACCTGTACAGAGATCAGCTGATCTGCCCAGCGAGCAGGGAGTATAACCCACTCAGCTGGGGTTTGCACCTTGCTATCTTAAAGTCTGATGTTTACCCCATGAACCCAGCCCTTCGAGACATCCCAAGAAGTCAAAGGCTCAGATGCACATTTCACACGTAGCACGGCATCATTCCGAGGCACTGCTCAAAACTCACTTAGGAGTTCCAGCTGAGCTGACGCCACCCTGGGGTTTCTTGTGGCCATCTCCCACCCAGCTACAGTCCAAGCCAGCCACGCTTAACTTGAAAGCTGCAGAAATCAGACTGGAGCGGCATAAGCAAAGACAACACGCTGAATAGAAACACTTGCAACACACACAATGGCTGATTTTAGGCCCTGTTTTCTGGCAGGTATCGAAAGGCAGGGTCAGCTCTGCTTTGTTCCGTGGAGTACAGCTCCCCCACGGGGCTCCAACTCAGCTCACCGAGCATCTAGGGCAGGGCTCCTCAACTTCGGAAGCCCCGGGGGCCACGATGATACCCGCAACACATGCCGACGGCCGAAACGTAAGTGTGGTTACGTATATATGCAAATAGCTTCTTTCACACTGATGGGCATGAATACAAAGCACTTCCACAATGCCCTTGCACACCCAGCATCTCCTCCTTGGTAGCCAGAAACACCAACACCCTGGACCCATCTGTTCCAGCCAGCCCATCTGCTTGCGTCTTTCAATTCTCACCCCACTTGGGAGATGCCTCGTTGACTCAAACCGCCCTGCGGGCTGCAAACAAACGGGCCACAGGCCGCCTGTTGAGTAGCCCTGACCTAGGGCTTTCCTTTCTCTTTGTAAAAAGGGCACTGGATTTGGGACATACTGCTTTCTCCAAGGCAGGCTTGTGAGCGGGGGTTGGGGGAAAAGAAGAAATGTGCCAGCTCTGAAATAGTCTGGTTTGTCGCTTACCTATGATTTTCAATTTCCATAGCGTGAACTATTCCCTCCGACCAGCGCGGAGATAGGGAAGCCACCATCTGCAGGAAAGAGGACAAGATAGAACACTGGCAATGAAATTTGAGAAAGGGAAATGTATTGTACAGTAATGTGGAGTAAAATAACCAGCACAACGTCTGGCCTGTGAATCCTACTACAATAATCCAGAACTAACAGAAGGCTTAGAACAGATTTTGCTATGCACTCATTAAGAAAAGGACAGAAGACAGAAAATACCCGTGGTACGCTCACATCTTGAATAGTCCATGCACTCATCTAAAAAAAGATGTATAGGAATTGGAAAGCGTTTAGTAAAAAGGGCCAACAAAAATGAATAGGCTATGGAACAGCTTCCATACGAGGAGAGATTAATCAGACTGGGACTTTTCAGGTTGGAAAGGAGACAACTAAGTGGGGGAGGAAGGGCTGAGGTCTAAAAAAATCATGACTGGTGTGGAGAAAATACATAAGCACGTATTAAGAACTAGGGGGTCACCAAATGAAATTAACAGGCAGCGGGTTTAAAAACAAAACATTTTCTTCACACAACAGTCAATCCATTGGCCTCTGTGCCAGAGGATGTTGTGAAGGCTAAGACTATAACAGCATTTTAAAAAGCTAAATAAGTTCATGGAGGCTAGGCCCATCAATGGCTAATAACCAGGATCTCTTATGTTTCCCAGAAACTGGAAATGGGTGACACGGGTTGCATCATTTGATTGTTACCTGTTCCGGTCACTCTCTCTGGCCAATGTCAGAAGACAGGATACTGGGCAAGATGGACTTTTGGTCTGACCCATTCTTACGTAATAAGCATCCATGCTTTTATGCTTTTCATACTACCCATGTTCAACGGGCGAGGCAGACACCAGAAAGCCAGGGGAAGAGTTTATCATGCATGTTTTAGGCTCTGTGGGCTTCTGCCTAGGTGCAATTTGGCCGCCTGATTCAGCTTGTCTGAAATTTCTATAACCTCACTCAGAAAAGGAGCAGAGCGAGGCCTCAAACCATCTCAGGGCTGCTCTCGCAAGCGCTACAGGAATGAACAGGGTCACCACAGACCCAGCCATGCTGGAAGGCTTGCTCACCTGGCACAGACAAAGGAACCGGGGAAGACGGATATGGGAGGTTTAATGTCTTTGATGCAGTTCAAACCCACAGAAAACTTTTACCTTTCTAGCTCAGTAGCACGGCAGGTGCTCTGCAGTCTCAGTCACTCCAACCACAGGAGGACAGTTTCTACAGGCGAGGCAATGAAAAGAGGACAAAAAGAACAGAACAGGTGAGATATTTACGCCCTTGCCCTCTCACAGTGCTCTGCACGCGTATCACTCACGTCAAGGCAGCTAGTTGCCCCAACACCAGCCGGATGGAAAGGTGAAATTGCAGCAGTCGCCCCTACCTGATGCCAAGAGAGGATGAGTTTTGTGGCACCGCCTGCGGGAGACCACAACCCCAGCCCTTCGGGATGGCTGCTGGGCTCTGCCTTAGAGTGAGCCAAGCCCTAAGACACAAGGGAGGGTGCTGCCCAGAGAACCCACAGGCCACGCTGCTCACGGCGGCTGGAAAACCCACCCACCCCTTGCCCTAGATGCCCTGTTTGCCCCATGCCGGGAACTAAGTGGGGGAGGAAGGGCTGAGGTCTAAAAAAATCATGACTGGTGTGGAGAAAATACATAAGCACGTATTAAGAACTAGGGGGTCACCAAATGAAATTAACAGGCAGCGGGTTTAAAAACAAAACATTTTCTTCACACAACAGTCAATCCATTGGCCTCTGTGCCAGAGGATGTTGTGAAGGCTAAGACTATAACAGCATTTTAAAAAGCTAAATAAGTTCATGGAGGCTAGGCCCATCAATGGCTAATAACCAGGATCTCTTATGTTTCCCAGAAACTGGAAATGGGTGACACGGGTTGCATCATTTGATTGTTACCTGTTCCGGTCACTCTCTCTGGCCAATGTCAGAAGACAGGATACTGGGCAAGATGGACTTTTGGTCTGACCCATTCTTACGTAATAAGCATCCATGCTTTTATGCTTTTCATACTACCCATGTTCAACGGGCGAGGCAGACACCAGAAAGCCAGGGGAAGAGTTTATCATGCATGTTTTAGGCTCTGTGGGCTTCTGCCTAGGTGCAATTTGGCCGCCTGATTCAGCTTGTCTGAAATTTCTATAACCTCACTCAGAAAAGGAGCAGAGCGAGGCCTCAAACCATCTCAGGGCTGCTCTCGCAAGCGCTACAGGAATGAACAGGGTCACCACAGACCCAGCCATGCTGGAAGGCTTGCTCACCTGGCACAGACAAAGGAACCGGGGAAGACGGATATGGGAGGTTTAATGTCTTTGATGCAGTTCACACCCACAGAAAACTTTTACCTTTCTAGCTCAGTAGCACGGCAGGTGCTCTGCAGTCTCAGTCACTCCAACCACAGGAGGACAGTTTCTACAGGCGAGGCAATGAAAAGAGGACAAAAAGAACAGAACAGGTGAGATATTTACGCCCTTGCCCTCTCACAGTGCTCTGCACGCGTATCACTCACGTCAAGGCAGCTAGTTGCCCCAACACCAGCCGGATGGAAAGGTGAAATTGCAGCAGTCGCCCCTACCTGATGCCAAGAGAGGATGAGTTTTGTGGCACCGCCTGCGGGAGACCACAACCCCAGCCCTTCGGGATGGCTGCTGGGCTCTGCCTTAGAGTGAGCCAAGCCCTAAGACACAAGGGAGGGTGCTGCCCAGAGAACCCACAGGCCACGCTGCTCACGGCGGCTGGAAAACCCACCCACCCCTTGCCCTAGATGCCCTGTTTGCCCCATGCCGGGAGCCTCAATGCAGCAGGGCCCGTGCTGCAGACCCCGGCCCCAGGAGGGGGGGGGGGGGGGGGGGGCGCCA